TCAAAACATTAAATATCGACCATTGGTATTGTCATCACATCATATATCAAAATCTTTTTGAAAACATTCTTTAATTTTTAAATACTGCAAACATTTTAATATACTAGACTGATATACGATTATTTTATAGACACAAACACATTTTAGCACTTTTTTCAAAAATATACGATATTTTTTTCGTGGACGCGGAGCTCCCAGGGATGGGGGCTTCTAACCAACCGCTAATTTCCCTTATGGGTAAATTCTGTCCTACGTGTGGGCGTGATGGAAGCCCTGCGCATAGTGGATTGAAATTACATCAAAAGCCTGCGATTTTTTACTGTGATTTGCGTGCAAACATTTTTCAACAGAAAATGCAAAGAAAGGGAAGAAGAAGAAGAAGAAAACAGAACAGCATTATACAGAAGAAAATAAAACAAAAGTAAATGTATATCTCCCGTTTTCGTTCAGCTTTGTCAAAGTTTCGATTTGCTTTCCACGCTTCTTTTCACAATAGATTTGTTATTTTTTGAGGATTTTTATGGTACTTTACATGAAGCCTCAACATTTTCTAAATAATGCTCAATTTTTTGATCAAACTTTGTCTTCTGGTAGCGTAAAGGACACTTAAGAAAATGGTGGATGTCACGTTTTCGGTGAATCCCTGATCTTTCGGAAATTGCTTAAGTTGAAACCTTTCTCGGCGTCTTTCTATTACTACAATATTGAAGATAGATATTTTTTCCCTAATTAAATTTGTTCTTTAAAGATATCTAAATAAATAATAGATAAATATCTTGAAATAAGGATTACGTACAATGCTTCGAAAATATAAGAATTTTCGCATAATTTTCAGTGAAATGCTGGCAATTAGTAAATTTTTAAACCATTTTTTCCTCAAAACTTTCTCCATTCTTCCTGTAAATTTTCTCTTTGTGCATATCAAGGGACGGTAAAAAATATACAGCAGTGCTGGGTACGGTCGCGATCATGTGACATCTAGCGGCACAACCGAGAAAGACGCAAAATGCAGAGGCGTGAAGTAGGACCTCGAGGTGCAGAGTTGGAAAAATCGCAGTGTTGTCTCATTTCCTGTAAACTCTGTGTATTTTCGAAAATTGCAAAAAGTTAACATTCTGAAACAATTACAAAATAACAGATACAAACTTGAGTGGAGAGAGCGAAGTTACATTACTGCTCAGAAGCGAAACAAGGGAGCCATCTCAGCATTTGCTCAAGGGACCAAGGAAACTCAACACAATACCTGATCGAGATGGGGTCATTGACCTAGGAATTATACCACAATACTTGTTACAGATAGATTAAGATATTATACAGTAGATAATTATTTTTAGTAGCAAATAATTGAACATTTCAAGATTTGTACAGTTTCATGTTTAAAGTAAAAGTAAAATTTACTTGTTATTGTCATTTTACTGCTACTATTTACTACTAATAAAAACAATAAAATAATAATAATACATGATATCAATTATGGAAGAAACTACAATACACAATAAAATACACAATAATTAACAATATTATTACATTCTGTGTTCCAATCTTGAAATGGTGAGAAGGTGGCAGGTTTTGGCCAGGTTTTTTCTATTTGTACACCTAGTCCTACTGCAGCACATAATGCATCTAGCAAATCCAGAGTGAAGGAAACACAAATTTTGGTCAAGTCTCCTTCTATATCACAGGACACAATATGCCAGTTCTATTTTCTTTGCTTCAGCTCAAAACAGTCAACATGAAAAAGAAAGTCAAATAGGATAAATAAATTTTATTTATTTATATATTTTTCAGGTAAGTATTGTGATTTGAATATTCATTCACACTGTAGATCATGTTAAGCAGGAAAGATTTCAATTTACTTATAAATGTATGAGCTGTGTTTAGGTCTTTAATATCATCATTATCCAGTTTGTTGTGAAGTGTAATGACCTTTATGAGGGTACTTTTTTGATAAAGTGTAGTTTCAGAGTGGGGAATATGTAGGTTATACTTTTGATAGTTGTATACATCAGAACCACTATTTTAAATATGTACATACATCGTAGAGGAAGAATCCTTAGTTTATTGAATAAGGGTTTACAAGACTCCAGTTTATGAGTGCTGGTCATTGTTTGCAGTATTCTTTTTCGGGTAATAAATGTGTGAGTGCTTTCAGGGGCATTTCCCCAGAATATTATTCCATATTTTAGGTGTGAGTTCACATTTGCAAAATAGTGTTTGAATTGTCTCAATGTTGGAGCTCGACCTGAGTGTGTATTGGGCATAGTAAGATTTGGTGGGCTTCTTGTTAAGATATGAGATGTGAGCAATCCATTTTAGGTTTTCTTGAATTGTTATACCAAGGAATGTAGTTTCTTGAGATATCGTTACAGAGTTATTATTTATGAGCAAACACTGTTAAGAGTTTTTCTGTGTATTGGGGGTTAATGAAAGTTAGTTGAGAGAATGCCTTGCCAGTGTTTATGATGTGTTTGGTGTCTTGAAACTATTTTCCTAGTGCATGCAAAGTTTTGAGAGTTTCTTTTTCTAATGATTTATAGATGATAGATTTATTTTGCAAAAAGAGGAATTAATGTTTTGATTTGGATTTGTCTTGAAGTGAGAGATTTGTTAAAAGATATAATTTACAGGAGCAGCTTTAAACTTTTTTCATGAACATAGATGTAAACCACCACATGAGGAAAGCATGGCTTTAAAGTAAAAATGATACTAGAGTTTTTAGAAGTTGAAAAATACGAAGGTTGAAAATTTTGCTATCTTTCTGTTAACGATTTATATGCATGTAAAAAAAATTAATATAGTGTTCTTAGAAAGAGATATGAAAAGCACATCTTTAATACATGAAAGGTGTTTCCAGCAATCAACTTTCAGTATTACCCTCTATATTTGGTAATGAAAAATTATTTCTTGCAGAACCAACATGCTTCAGAGGGGACGTGAGATGATGGAGCATTTACAAGAAATTGGAGTTGGAAAACATCCCATTATTTGGGTGGGACACTCTAAAGGTGGCCTCTTTGTCAAGCAAATGATAGTAGATGGTAAATATCAATTTCTAAGAAGATAATCTTTGGAGAAGTTTTTCGAGATATTAAGTTATTCTTTTCAGATTTATCCTGCATTTTTCATATTGGTACAGTAACAGTTTTATTATTTCTTGATACATATAAAAAAATGAACTATTTCTTTCTAATTTTCAGCATTTGAAAATGGTGGAGAACCACTTGCTGGAATCTACCAGAATACAAAGGCCATCATGTTCTACAGTGTTCCTCATATGGGTTCAGCTTGTGCAGATATAAACTTGCCACTGCTTAGGCAATCTGTTGAGCTCACAGAGGTGCAAAAAGGTGTGATAAAAATTGTCTATTTTTCATTTAAGTTACCCGTAGTATGTGTATTGAATAAATGCATTTGAATTACTGATAATATTTTGTCAACAGATTGTCGAGAGGTGCTAGAGTTACACTCCAAATTTTTGTCACTGGTGGAACAGAAACATCTACAAGCAGAAGTTTTTAGTTTTATTGAAACCATTCCCACATTCATGCGTATTCTTTATATACAAATAGTTTCCTTAGAATCAGCAGGTAAGAGATTTCTTACAGATGAATGCACTCTCTAGTTTTCAGAATTTGACTATATAGTACTAAAATAAATATATGATAGGATCAGTGAGAGACAGTTTCAAGTTGAATAATAGTTGTAAGTAATAATTAGAGAAATGATTATAAACTGGCAATCTCATAAAAAATGCTGCTGAACAAAACCACATAAAATTAGCATAGTCATAAACTGCAGGTTGTTAGGCTTATCACTTGTCCTTTTTTCCCAGAAGACTAGGAGGTTTACACCGCAAGGTGTTCCTGATCTAGACATTTCTTTTGTGGTCTTCCCACATCCCCTCACCCTATTGGTTTGTACTTAAATACTGCTTTTGGTAATTTTTCTTGTTTTATTCCGTTAATGTGAAAGCCATTTTCTCTGTCCAATCTTTATTTTTTCTACTACATTTTTATCTTTAGCCTGTATCTGATGTCTTTACTTCTTTGCCTATCATTTAGACTCCTGCAAGATGAAGTTGAAAACCACATAAAATGGTTTTCCTAAAAGTAGCACATAAACTGCTCTAGAACAACAAATAAAATACTCTTAAATAACACAATAACAAAAAATTTAAGCAAAACAGTCTTTAAGAATACTGCAACAATATAATGTAGTACATATAGATACACAATACAACAGTTCTTGACTTTCCAAAAATATTAAAATATGTTGCTGTGCATCTTTCTTGGAGCCTTGCTGTTGTATGACATCAATGTATTGAAAGCAGTGGCGCACTGAATATGACAGTTCATTTGGGAAGCACAGTATGAGAATGGGCAGATGAAAACAATCAATATTTGCATGTTTCAGTCCAAATAAAAACTGTGTTTGTAAAAATTTTTTTTTTTTTATTTTTTTTTTCCCCAAGTGTCTGGGAATGTAATGAAACCATTGATACCCCCACAAAAAGGTCAGGGGCTCCATAGTTTTTTTCAATTTCTACATGCATTGGATATTATCAATATAGATATTTATAGATAAATGTCAATTTTTTTTTAACGTAATGCTCAAAATTAATAATGAACATGTTTCAGGTCTTCACAAATTATTATTGCCTAAAAATGATTATTTCACTATTAGAGGCTAAAAATGCCCAACAGTCCTGTAAAGTTCCAAAAAAACTTGTGTTTGGTGCAATTAACAATTGTGGAGAATAAACCTAAGAGTTGCTGGAACAAAAATCACTCAAGATGAAATCTGTATTAAATGAAAATCTCGGAATATCCTGGCTTCATGCTACTAGAAAAGAGGGAGAGACAATTAATGCTCTGTCATTTCTGACATTTTGTCTCTCACTGACTCATTCATGTCTAGAAAATTTCTGGTGATATCCTGTTTGTAAATTGAAAATTGTGTTATATTTTCTTGCTTAAATTATTAATAATAATAATGATAAGGTATGGATCTAAATTTGTAGATGCTGCTATTGGACAGTTGTTTGGAGCTCCACTAGATCATAGGAACATCTGTAAGCCAACAAATAGGTAGGTATGATAAAATAAATGTGTACTTTAATATAGCCAAATTTGGAGATCTACCTGGCAATATTTTTTTGCAATAATTGATAAATCAAATTATTTTTCTTATGAAGACCATTAAAAACAGTCCCCTTATTTCCAATAAATACATAATATTCAGGAAATTGCATAATTCACTTTTGTTTGTGTATTTTCTAACTCTGCATACTCACTGTTATTCTCTTTTACTTGTCCAAAATGTTTCATGACTATAATTAAATCATAATAACTAATAATTTAATTATGAACTCTTGAAACCTTTTTGTACTGGAGAAAAAAACAACTTTATTAAAAAAAAATTATTTACTAATTTCATGATGTGTGAATTTCCATCATTACTATAATTAAATTATTTGTTCTTGTTGAATTGCAGACAGTGCTTCCTGTACAAGGAACTCATAAATCTGATCCAAAAGCATCTATGAGGAAATGCCTAAGGAAGATGGAAAACTGGAATGTGATATAGTTAAGTGACAGAGAGTCCAACTCGAATCTAGAAATCTGCTATAGCTAGTTACCAACACAAGTTTCATATTGGAACAGTGTTCCATATGACTAGTGTATGCTTTGAGCTTCCTGAAGCAGCAGTTATTTAGTCAATATCAGAAGACTTCATTCTTAAATTTCTGTAGATTACAAGACTATATGGAAATTGAGATTGGCTGTTAAAGCTAGATAAAGAACGACTGAAATTATCATTTTATTTTGTCATGGATGCGTTTAAACTTTTAAGTTTAAAAAAGGCTCATTCTTTTTTTAATAAAAATTTCTGACTTTACTTCTCCAAAGAGTGAAGTCTACTGATCACCATGCTAAGCTAGGAAAGTAGGGTAGAAGTACAAAGGACATATCAATGCAACATAGTGATGTGAAGCTACATGTGAAGGAAGAGCAGGGTGAACGTTTAGTATCAGTATTTTCTATAATTATTTTTATAAAAGCTGTTCTATGTTCTGTACCCATGGGCATTAGAATGACACATTCCACACCTCTGTGAGTTAAATGTGGCTTGTTTCACTATAAACATTTTTACAAAAATAAACTGTCATAATGTTTTGTATGGCAAACTTTCTTCTATTGATGTATCGTAATTCTGAAATTAAAAAACAATTGATGCAGAAATTAACATGCATTGATAGAAATATGAGAATCTAGAAAATAAATTCCTTGTAGGAATTGCCTACTAGATAACTATAATCCCAATTATTCTGTTTTGTTCTTGTGAGAATCAAATCACTCAATCAATGGCTGACAAAAACAAATTGTATGTTATGTTCAAACAAGATACTAAATTAGTATTTCAGTTGTTTATGTAAATTTTCATTTTATTGATATACACAATGTCAAGAGGTATATGTGTATTTATTGTTTTCTTATGTACTTTATTCCTCAATACATTGAAATAAGTATTTACTTGTTGACAGCATGCTGAAAGAAGGGCAGTTAAAAGATAATTGTGCATTTTCCAGACAGGAAGTAATTTTTATAGGAATATAATTTCTACTATTTTTACTCCTGTGATTATGTTATAAAAATTAAAATCTCAAGGTATTTGCCATAAATTGCACTAGTTTGCCCAGAAAGAAAAATGTGTTATAATTTATATAAAATGATCAATAAAATCCAAATTTTAAAAAAATTGTTGCTTATATGCTTTGCAAACCATATCTTTCATTATTTGTGTATTCTATCATTTTCTGTGGCACAAATCAGTTTGTCTGATTACACACTGTATCAGTATGAAAATTGTCTGAGACAGGTTCCTTCATTTTAAAAGACAGTAAGTGAGATCTCCAGATTTATTTTATATCAAAGTAAATAACTTTATTTATTTGTTTATCAACTTGTAGGTTAGTCTGTTCTCTATCCCTTTCCCAATTTTTATGAAAGTTAGAAGAGCAGGAATTTGTTGGTATGTGCGTACTTATTTCTGCCCATTCAAAAAATGCATTCACTTTTTTGAGGTTGCTCAACTGTTACTCAAATGAATAGAAGGTGGATATTGAAAAATGAATATGAAAATTAATTTGTAATAAGTATTATTCAATAAACTTCAAATTATAAATTAATGTTAATATTAATCAAATAAGTTATATGTAAGTTTTTATTATTTATAAATATAATAAATGCAATAATTAAAAGACTTTTTGGGAAAGATATGACACAGAAAACCAAATTAAGAATACACAATAAGACTACCAAGTCAATGCTATTATATGGATCAGATAAACCTGGATTCTTCAACACAGAAAACAAACAAAGACTAGAATACGGGCAGATCCAGCTGATCATTTTGGAGAGTGCCATCATAGATTTTTGTTAAACAAAAACCATTTGTTATTATAGTGTATATTATTTTTTGTAGTATATATACAGTTCCACACAATGTTATTTTTTAAATAATTACATAATTCTAGCATGAATACATTTTTAAATCAATTTTGCCAAATAAAGGAAGGTAACAAATGAAATCTCTGGGCCTTTTGGGTGGGGGTGGGGGGGAATCCACCAGTGGACTAGTAACAGTTCAAATGATGTTCCTAAGACACTTTCTTGGCTATAATAGACTGGTTCAATTGCAAAATAAAGACATAAAGAAGAGATTGAAAACAACAAGTGTAACAGAGAACGTTAAAACGAACCAGAAAAAATGGCTGGAACATATTAAAACAATGAAAGAGGAAATATTCCCAAAGATTGTCCTAAAATATAAACCACTTTGACAGATGTAGGAAGACCAAGAAAGAAGTGGATCGTGCAGGGACACCTGGGAGACTCAAACATTTCAGGCCTCTTTCTTAACCAGAAACAGGCCCCCAGGCCTTTCATCCTGCAGTTCTTGATGATGATGATGATGATGATGATGATGATGATGGCGACGATGAATGTCTTTAAAAAAAAGTAGACCGTGTGAATTTTGTAATGTTCATTCCAAGGTGGGGGGTGAGAGTGTTACAAGAGGCTACAGTGAGATGGGGAGTGGGGAAGGAAAATCTTAATCCTCCATAGTTTTTCAATAGCTCTTTTAAAATTCAACATCTGGAAACTACTTTTTCAGCTGTCAAAAATGTTAATCATGTATTTTTAGGAGAAAGTTGTATTGTAGTAAATTTAATTGCATAACGAAAGACATGCACCAGTAGCGTTTGGGGGACCACCAAATTTAAATACTATCATTATAAGCTACCAAACACAACAAAGTATTAGCACATTTTCTTTTTAATATCTCAAATAATATGCTTGTCTTGTGTCTTGCATAAATAATATAACATTCTCATTGAACTATAGGTTCAACTCGATGAGCCCTTCTGAATAACTTGGAATGGTGAGAATAAGAGGGGCTCCAGGAATAATAGTGCCAACCCACTCTTTGAGAATTTGAAAATGAAAAGGTTTCAATGAATTCTGATAGTTCTATCTTCTCTCAAAAATTAGTGCATGCAAGATTAAAAATTAATTTTCAAACTACACATCTTTGTGTTTCTTCTGATCTTTGGTGTTAAATCTTAAAGCCATTAAGATAATAATCCCTATTGAGATCAAATACCTGAGAGATGTAATGTGTTCTTCAAGTGATATAAAATGTTAAATAATCTCTGACAATAGTGTGAAGGATTCAGATTAGATTATGAATTTGCCTGGTGTGAGTACGACGTTTCTGCGATAGTGCATGCACTACTACAAATTTAATTATATCACTTCCGTGCTTTCACACCTTACAACAGAAATAACATACTGAAACCAGAATGAAAAGCCAGTAAGTTAAAGCTACTTAATTTACCGTAGTAGAAAAAAAAAAAGAAAAAAAAATTAAATGAATTGCCAGAACTGCGTTTAAATATTTGTTTACAAGAACATTGTTTGGATTGTACAATTGAAGTTAATTTCCTTTGGAAATTTGAAGTATTTTTTATAAGAGAATAATAATAAAAAATAAGGAAAAACAAAGGATAAGAGTAAGACATAAAAAGTAAAACATTACATAGGCCTAGTGCAGAAAATGTGAAGAGAGGATGTTCAAGACCCGTTTTTTTATTGGTCAAGATGCTACAAAATACTTACATCACTTGCTATTGATGCTCAAAAGCATATGATGGATTCCAGAAGAACATTACACGAGCCATTGTTTCATCTGAAAGAGCTAATCCTGAAAATGAAACTGAAGTAATTCTTGGGTTAAAATTCCAAAATAAACATGACATGTTCACTTTGTATCAAAGTTGTGTATCAAAATTCATGGATCAAAATCAAGTATCAAAATTGTGTATAATTGTGTAACTTCTATTAATAAACAGTGTATTAGAATTTTCATTGTGTTGTTAATTCTGGGCGAAGGAGGAGCTTACATATTTATTCTTCACCTCTTCACCTTAAAATATATATCCTTGCCTAAATACGAAAATGAATGTTCAAATCTATCGTAAAGAAATCTCTAAATTTTAGAGGAGATTTCACCGAGTTCAGAATATATTCCTCAATTAATCTGATTTATACATTATTTTCAGATTTCAAATGACGTTTTCTCAAAAGAATCTTGTGAATAGCTCGCTTTTCCCACAGCTCTTCATACATTTTGAGAAAGTATCAAAATGGCTCAAATGCTTAAAGTTTTGTCTCATGAATGTGTGGAAACATGTGAAGAAGTAATTTAGCAGGATTTAGCAGGAAATAAAGGAATGAGGATATTAATAGTTTGAGATCAAAATTCAGAAATAATAGTATGATGTAAAATTCCTGATTTCATGAAAGAATTCTTATGTAATAAGAAACTTTCTTGAGTAAAAATTATGTAACAATCATTCAGATATCACATTATATTGAAACTAAAATGGCAGTAACGATGGAACAAGTAACATTCACCATAAAAAGTAAACCAAAATTTAAAACAGACTACGTAATAATTGGTAATAACAAATAAATTATAGATCAAATTTAAAGAATCTTTCCTTTCATTATTGATTTTTTGACCTGAGATAATCCTGTTGGGCATACCGGTACGAGAGACAGAAGTCCGACCTCCTCGACCTTGACGTCTCCTTCCCCTCATCGTCCCTTCCAATCCTGGCCTGCGGAGTGAAGTGCATATCCGAACGCAGCCGCCAGTTGTCCAGTGGCGGGGGCTGCACTGGCCCGCTCCCCGTTGAGCAGCTCTCCCGCTCCGTCTCTCCGCAGTCTTGGAAACGCTGGTGACAGACGACCCAACAGCACGTGAGTAGTGCAGCTTGTGCTCCCAGCGGGGCAAAAGGTCTCGTAAGTTCTGAATGAAATACGCCAACGTTTCAAGTAAAAGGGAAAATGACGAGATCTATTATGTTGGGATGCGGTATACTGGTACGGACAATATAATTAAGTTCATAATACGCTGATCGGCAAATAGAAAATTATAGAATAGTAGGTTTAATATTGTTCAGTATCGCCGCATAAATTGACTTAATTCTTCAAATCCATGCTAGACTACTTACAATGTCAAAGTTTGTAATCATTTGTAGGTCTGGCGGGCCCATTAATCATAATTAACAAATTGATGGTAAATGGGAACGAATCTGATTTCTCAATTTTTGTAAATCATCACACGTTCTGCCTTTATGCGAATAATGGCAAGACTTTGAAGTTCTGCTACTGGTTGAAAGACAAGGCTAGAGCGTTCCTGCGAAAGCAATCGCGTCACATTTCAGTTGGGCGTGGGATGTTATATTTGGCCCATGAGAACCTTACAATTAATAAATAGTTGAGACCTCGAGGAAAATCGTAAAATTTTAATGAAATTACAAATGATGTAATAGAGGCAATGTGAAGCATGAATTCTATATGTTTTAATTACTTATTTTATACATTAACAACAGATTTCTTGCAATTCGAAATTGTAATTCTTGATGATGTTGAAGCCTGACAATTCATATTAGCATTTGAAATACTATTTTCCACCATAATGTTCATAGCTATTTGTTTGTTGTTTTCTACTGATCATTCCACATACCTTTCTGCAACAGAAGACTACTTCCATCCACCGTGCCTCTCTACAGCGTATCCATATCAGCACCTGTACTTGCTAGTAATGAAGCGGATGATCGCCGAAAACCATGTCCTGTAAATCTTTCAGGGTTCTGCAAACCAAGATACTTTGCTATTAGCTTCGGAATGCCTCCAAAAGTATTTATTCCAACAGGTTGGCAAGTACATTTTCCATTTTTGTAAAACACAAAGAAACGATCGTGCTTGACACTTTCAGGCCGAAAGCGAAAATATTTACGAAATGTTTCTAAACAGTTAAATTCTTTAATATTCCCTTCACTAATTACAAATTCTCTCGGAATTAAAGTCTTACCGTTTGGTAAATTAATTAAAATACATGTTTGTCTATCCTCTATATCACTTATTTTAAGATTCTTTAACACATCTCTACGGCAAGCGCCAAATATACCAATTATTAAGGTCACATTCATCAACAAATAATTATTATCGTCAGCTTTTATTAAAAAATTATGTATGTCTTCCTTTGAAAATATCTTTGACTTTTTTGTTTTATATCCTTCACTTTTTCTTTTTTAAAATGCTAACAACTGGGTAAACTTACTTATATCAATAAAGTACTCTTCAGCATAGAAAAGTGGGTCCAAAGACTACTCGGTTTTTCCTTTTCTAACTTGCCGGAAAAGTAAGCCATTACAACTTTTCTGATATGCAATGAACAGTTTTGTTTTCACACCAATCCTTAAAAATTTTATTTTTGAGAACTACAGCTGGTTATATATTCTCACTGTAAAATTCCAAACAGATGTTTGGAAGCATGACTTGACGACTACAGTTTTTGTAGCTATTTCTGTTGAGCAGATTCTTGAATCCGTAATAAAATTTAGTGTTGGCTCTTCTGAAGTTGAAATCAACTAACCATGGTAAATTTGCACTCAATGATTTTGCAGTGAAAGTTAATTCAAGTGTTAAAGGAGAAAAAACTTAACATTTAAATAATTTGGAATCCGCTTTGGGAGAGATAGATATTTCTATTGCCTATGAGGACACGAAAATTTTGTATTGCATTGCCAGCTATACCAGTAAGAAAGCGCTCGCAACATTAAGGAAAAGTAGTGTGCCTTACTTGCACAGATATATTGCAGGCTAAAGAAGAAATTGTGGCGGAGTTTGGAAGTGAGGAATAGTGTCTTATTACAAGCATTTGAATCGTGGAGGATTAAAACTTCCCTCTTGGATTATGATTTCTTTGTGTTGTGATAGGTACTAACTTTTTAATGTTCTGATAAGGACGTATGAACATGAATTCCCGCAATTAGAGAATCAGAGAAATGCGCTAATAATTATGAATACAGATGTGCCAAAATTCTGTCAAATATTTGATGTGTGTGTGGTGTTGAACTGGCAAATATAATTAAAACGTGTTAGTGTTAGCTAACATTTTCATTAACTACGAGAATGTATTATATGAAAAGAATACCTCAAGAGAACTTGGCAGAAAATGAGGAAATCAGAGGAGAAAAAGTGGGGAAAAAATGCAAGAGAAAGTTTCAAAACGCAAAGCACTAAAGCTCAGCAGCAAGTAAACACTTAGCAGGTGATATAAAATTATTTTTTCTTTAAATATGGTGCAGCTTAATAACAATTTTTAAATAATGTTAGTACTTTTGAAAAGTGTATTTAGTAGCCTGTGAAATCAGTGATGGTTTTAGCGAGGTTCTCTCAGAGGGTAAATCAGGTTATGTACCAAGATTTTTCACCAAAAATCACCACCTCTATCCAAATGTTTTTATTGGGAAATTGCGTCGTTCGTCTGTTTCCGCTTGCTAATGGTGTTCCCAGGTCTGGTTTTAATTCCCTCGTCGGGTTTACTGCATATACTTTTATTAAATTTTATATCGTATCATGCTATTATTTATTTTTTTGTATAATTATTGTTTTCAATGTTAAACATGTTGAATTTATTCATTGAATAACATTACTATTGGTTTTTAAATGTTTTCTATGAGGCATGGCAATGACCGTAGTAACCAACTTGCCCCAATGATATTATCATTGCTGCCATCTTGAATTCTGTATTATGGTCTGAGGTATTTTAATTGACCTTGCCTAACGTCTATTGCGCCGACCGGGGGTAGTAATCCTCCGTTAATTTTAGGTGGAGTAATCCTCTATTATTATCATCCAGCAACCTCTAGGGGCCGCTGGATAATAAAGTCACGTCAGTCGCAGTCAAGTCAGGGAATTGCCGATAGGTTGCGTCTTCACGCCCTGCGACATCCACCCATCGGCCAGAATTGGGAAGGAATGCGGAAGGGGTAAGGTTTAGGCTCTTCACTGGGGGTTGGACTAGCCCCTGTGAGACATGCAAACTCATTTTGTCGCAACAAATTTCACATGAGGTTCTGCGGGGATTCTACGGGAATCGAACCCGGAATCCCAGTGATGAAAGGCAAGCTTTTCGCAATTGAATTTACTAGGCGCTATAACAGCCCATAAGGCACTTAGCTCTGAGGAAATAGTTCCGGTATATCGTGATAGCAATTGTCTAATCAAAGGTCTTATTAAGGAAAGGCTTAATCAGTCATATCCGGGTTGAAAGTAGTGCAGTATCGCTCGAGTATTTGCTCCTGGAGTTGAGGTAGAGCTGTTTTACTAATTTATTTTTATCTCTCCGACTAGTAAGAAATGTTTGCATGACATAAAAGTAAGGTTACCATACTTTCATTATGAGAAAAGAGGATTTATTTTTACAAATGTGGCCTCTTCATATAAAATGTTTTAATATAATAATTTATTTTCTTAAAGACAAAATGCAACTGACAAAATAAATACTTCAATCATTGTCATCAGTTTCACAATCGCACAATATGCCTACTTCATTTTCATTGCTGTATTTTTCACTTTTATACAAGAATTTGGTAGATGAAATCTCCCTCAACGTTTTTTTTCTTTCAATAAGTAGTCATAGAAACTCCTACAGGTTGGATGCTTTAAGTTGTATTGAACACACGTTATACTTTAAATATATAGTAAACCTCCTGTGTGTGGATCACTATGCGTATTTGCTCCTGGATTTATAGTAGGAGAGAAAATGCTGTCTGTGTTAGCATTGTGTCTGGGGATTGCAAAGTAAATTTAGCCAATTTCAGCAGTTCAGAATAGCACATAAGACTTGGAGATTGAAATATTGATGATATTAACTGACGGTATTAACTTCAGAGTCAGCAAAGTAGTATTAACATCACAGAGCACAGAATCTATAACCAGCAATAGCATACAATAAGTTGTACCTGCTGATGGCAGCACTGCCATATTTCGTGGAGTAATACCGTGGACCGTGAATGTAATAGTTTGCTATGGATTTTGGTGGTTGTTAGAAGAGATAGTTGAAGTTAAATGTCTTTTAAATGTCATACAACGAAATGTTGAGATGTCGGGGACTCGAAAAAGTGCAGTATACTACGTACATCATACGTCTAGGTTGCATTTAAAAGTAGTTTACCTATTTCAATAAAAATGACATTTCGTTCTTTCGTGAAAGATCCACCCGGACAGATTTTTGTACTTCAAAAAGACGTCCTGAGAAAAGAGGTCGTATGGTAACCCTATACATCTTGTATAGCTAGATTGCAAGAAAAGTATTTATAAGCCCCCTTTTTTTAAGAAATATTTTCTAGCATAATTCTATGATTAGTTTCTTGCGAGTTTCATTAAGAGATGACGATGTAAACGACGCGGGTTCTTTCGAATTGAAGTTTATGGCCCATCTATTTACAAGCATTTAATGACAATTCATACGCATATATTCTTCATATAAGTACATATTCTCATCTGCTTATCAAACCACGGGCGTGAGCAGCCTAAAACAAAGAAGGAAAGAGGAACTGCGTTTCTGGTCCCCTCTTTCCTGTCTCCCACTCACTGCAAATACACCCCTTATTTGGTTCATTTTTGGCGAAAACTTTTTCTGACAATACGATGATGGAACCCGTACACTGCCGGACACGTAATCTCACGCCTTTGCTTGCACGCATTATGTTTATCATCGCATCAGTACAATAAAATGTTTTTCTGGCAATTTTTCTGGCTGTCTCTTCGTTTATGCAGCATTTGTGTTGGGCTGCTGTAATTGAAGTCTGAAATCTTCCTGTATTATTATTTTTTCTCCTCTCATTACGCCAATCTTGGATGAGAATATTTGGAAACTCGTATTGTTTCTCTTAGGAATATCGATTTTCAATTTTCTATTTTTTCGAGTTTGTGTGTGAGGTAGATCCATATCATTTCTACCAAACGTTGCTACACAGTACTTTGTGGGTACAAATAGTATCATAACATTTTCTACAGACAATTGACTGAGATACTTGTAATTGTTGCTATTCATCTATAGATGTGACGTGAAAATTGAGCTCCTTTATAGGATAATTGCTAGGTATTTAGGTTCTTATTTTGACTCCGATGCACGTTATATATTTTGTAATAAATTTATAGTGATGTGTTAACTGACCCTTCGGAATGACACGGTTTCAACTAACATATCATACGTTTCGGGTAAATTGATGTCAACGTTTAGATAACTCGTTTTTCAGTCATATCAGTATCTAAATTGCTTTTACAGTAGCTATTTGTCCTTGTATTTGCAGCACAGGTGATTTTTTTATTGTAGCGGAAGTCGGATATAACCTTTGGAACACTAATAAATTTCCTTAGAATTTGACTCTTGAACCCTGGTGCGATCATAAAGGATCATACTAATGAATTCTAAACAATTCTAAAGAATCGTACGTAGAAGTCGGTAACTTTAATTTCGGAGTTAGTGCTATCCGCAATGTAAAAACTGATATACCATAACACTACTTGCATTATTTCTATATAGTCTTCAATCTGTTGAAATAGTCATCAAATGTTATGTCATTTTTTGTAAGGATTTAATTGTCCTCAAATATTGATAAACTTGTTTGCTAGAATTTATCTATTCACATTATCAAAGGCGTTCAGAAGTCAACGAAGATTGAAATTAATTTCTTATACTGTTTATTTATGCTTTTTTTTCTCAGCTGCCACTGCCTCTGGTAAAACTTTTGAACTAATTGTTTAAATATTGAAATTCGACCATCAAAATTTGAAGTCAGCT